AGGGTGGTGACTGGTGGTGAGCAGAGGCCTCGGTGAAACTACAAAGTTTTCTTTCTTTCTTGGCAAGTTGTAATCCAAACGGCAGGGACCTTGACATGGGAAGGGAAATCACAGATTTCGTCTGGAATCGGCAGGGCAGTCTAAGCCGCCAGGATGGCACGGTGCTTCTGGATTTAGCATGGATGAGGCAGAGCATTGGGTAACTCGAGGGCCAGACCCCTAACCGATCTCTGACCCTAATAGATTGTGAGAGCGCTGTACTAAGCACCGTCATTCCACTCCACTTCGAGAAGAAACGGGCAGCCAATCTCCAGAAGGAGCTATGGAAAATGTTCCAGCTCTTCTTCATATTCCTAACGCCGGTTGTCCCCGGTTAGGGGCTTAGGGCTAGACATCCAGGCTGCACTGCAAACTCATACCCTTGGGTTCCAGATGGTGAGGTGCATTAAGGGGTTCAAGAATCAGAGAAGGTGACACCCTGATGTGGCCACGACGCGGCTGAAAATGCAGATGAGCAGTGGCGCTGGCAACTTATCAGTCTGAGATGCACTACCAGGAATTCTGGGAGAGTTACTTTAAAACGTTGAAGAGGAATAGGGCTTTGCATTTTGAGTTTTTTTATCTTGATTACGGATTTAATTTTATGGTATTTTCCTGAGTTTTGCTTCTTTTTTCTAGACATTTCCTACTACGTATTTTTCTTTTGTTTTTATTTTAATTCTTAACTTTAAGTGTTGGATTCATTTGGTCGACATTCCACAATTGTAGTTGTACTCATTTTGACATTTACACTATTTACCTGACTCTACCTTAACTAAATTTGACGGGAGTAGTCATTAATATGATAACAACTTATAAAACTTAACTTGAACTATATAATTAAAATGTGACTTTTAGGTTAGAAAAAATTCCAGAAATTTGTTATACTATCTTCGTCCCGAAAAGGTTTACTATATTGGTTGTTTTCCAGAAATTTGTTATACTTTTAGTTTATAAATATTTGCTATACTCTAAATATTTAAAATGTGACTTTTCAGATTGTATTGGCTGAAGTTACTGTAAAGGATCATGTTAACTGTTTTTTCATACTCTGTATATTATTTTGTTCATTTTTTAATAAAATGTATTTTAAACTACAGTTTATTCATAAATTAGCAGAATCAGTCAACGCAAGCACTTCAGCCAAAACTTCATAAATTTCAGCAGAATCAGTCAATACGGCCGATTTGGGTATTACCAACTCGGCTCTGAATCAAGTTTCCAAAGTGTATTTTTTTAGTATGTAGTTTGTTTTTAATTAATAGTCTCATTAGTTTTTTTGTGGTTTTTAAGAAGAATATAGTTTAGGTAGTATAGAAAAGGTAGGGTAAATGAAAAAATAGGAAATAAAATATATTAAGAAGAGTAACGTAATGATAAAGTAAGAAAAATAAAGCATTATGTAAAAATGAGTAAGAGTAATAAAAGTGTGAGTATAAAAATATTTTGATTGAAAAAACTTACTAAAAGTGATATTAACGTGCCCAGCCTTCAGAGCCAATCCTTTTCCCGAAGTTATGGATCCATTTTACCAACTTCCCTTGCCTACATTGTTCCATTGACGAGAGGTTGTTCACCTTGGAGACTTGATGTGGTTATGTGTACGACCGGGCATGGACGACTGAGCTTTCACTTTCCCGACGAGCAGTATGTTTATTTTGAAGACGAGGCAACTGTGAGTGATGTTGTACTGCGTGAATCCGTTAGGGAGAGTATGTTTTTGGCATGGATGAGAGCGAATGTACAGTACCCGGAGGCAAGAGATTTAACTTACGCTGAATTCCCTCAAAAGTTTGTATGGAAGCCGAAGTGTAGAGAGTTTGTCCCTCGCAAAAAGGGTTTCGCTATAGAGAGACTAACATATGTCCCGGCCTCCAGTTTCAGGTGAGTCTTATTGTTTACAATGCATCCTTAATTTGAAGTGTGGGGCTACATGCTATGATGATCTTAGAACCGTCGATGGGATTTGCCATGATACATATCGCGATGCATGTTATGCGTTAGGATTGTTAGACGATGACAAGGAGTATATTGAAGGAATCTCTGACAACGTTGATTGTTACTCGGCTTGGAAATCACATCCTTGGAGCAAGAATTTTAGGCGGAAAATATGCTGGACTGGAAGTTGTCATTCCAAGGTTAAGTTTGACTCCGTCAGATGCAAGAATACTGTTCAAGTTTCAGAGAAGGCAATTTCCAGTGATGACTTCTTATGCGATGACAATAAATAAGAGTCGAGGTCAATCTTTGACCCATGTTGGACTCTTATTAAAGACACATGTCTTTATGCATGGTCAATTGTATGTGGCAATTATCTAGAGTGATAAACCATAAGGATTTGAAGATTTTGATTTGCGGTGAAGATGGGAATAGCACTGACCGCACTACAAATGTTGTTTCGGAATTTATTGTGTGTTTCGTTTTCCCCTCTTATCCTAATATATAAATCGTACTGAATATTAGTGATAACTATAGTTTTCTCTATAATTATTGTATATCGTCATATATAGTACATGCGTATAAAAAAATATCATCTGCACATGCACTAATAAAGTTAATAAATAAGATTATATTATATAACTATTTGATAATATGGACCGCGCATCGCGCGGGTGAAAGTCTAGTACTACTAAAGCGGTGCAACATATATAATCGAATTGTGTTAGTACAATTTTTTAATAAAATATAGAGCATACTAATATTAATAATAAAATGAAAATGGATTAGATAATTCTTGATAGTGACTTGTGGATGATGAGTATGGCTCTTCACTACAACACGTGGGTAGCATGCACAGCTTTCATCTTTGCAATTTAGACAAAAATCTTTTTCCCCAAGTCTGAAGAATCAATCTGTGTGTATAGAACAAACTACCTTTTCCCCTAAAATATGAAATTCGTAATTCTATCAATAACAACAAGAAAGAATTTGACGTCGTTCAATTTCCTAAACCGGATGACTACCGCCGGTTCCCCAATTTCACACATGGGATACGTTCGCACATGGAAAGAGAAGAACTAATATGCAGAAAATATCTTTGGAAGGAAACGGTTGTATAGTTGTATAAGGAATCATGCAACGTAAGATAAGGGATTGTAGAAACGGTCAATTAAAAAAGTCTTCCTTACCCTTAATGAAAGTTTAGGCGCACGGATTTTCTTAATCCAATCCAATGGTTAAGATGAGTTCTTTTTCCCTCTCTCTCTCTCTCTCTCTCTCTCTCTCTATATATATATATATATATATATATATATATATATATATATACCCCAAACTTTATATAAAAAAGTTATATTAGCATCATGATCATATATTTTTTTCACAAATGTACTTTTATGGTTTAAGTAAATAATTTAAAATAGAGATAATAGTCCTAAATAGGACTAAATTAATCCCTAAATGCAAAAATAGGACTATGCTAATTATCTTCCCCAAATAGGACTAAAGTACACCCTATCTTCCTATTATATCCTTACCATGACTTAATAGAATCATATTTTAATTTGTAATGAATAAATAAAAATAATAAAAAATAATGTAACTTATACGAAAAATCATAAAATAATATAAAAAATTTCTAAATTATTTTTAAAATATATGAAAATCATGAAATTAAATAAATTATTAGAAAAAACTTAAAAAATAGATAAGACACCTTCAAAAAATATGGAGGTCTTTCCCATAGTCTCGGCTACTGCCCAACAACGCTACCTCTGATCGGCCAAAAAAATGTCATTTTATGTAAAAACTGTAATTGTTATTTCTGTGGAAATGCCATGAAGATGCCGTTTTTACTCTTGAAAATGCCAAAAAAAATAAAAAATTGTTATAAAGATGGCATTTCTGACACATGTTGGCATTTTTCCCGATAATCGGAGCTGATGGTGCTGAGAGGTTTTTGAGGCAGCAACATAGGCCTACAATTGTTTTAATATTTTTTACATATTTATTTATTTTATTTATAATTTTTTATTTTTATTAATTTGAAATAATTTTTTCCTGTTTTTTATTTTTTTTTTTTACATTTTTTATTATAAATAAAATTATATTATTACTTTTATATTTCAATTATTAATGAAATATGAATTGTTTTAAAATAAACAAGGATAAAATTGGAAAGCTAGTCCTATTTAGAGATTTTTTAAGTTATGATCATATTTTGGCTATTAATGTTTCACTTAGTTCTATTTGGAGAATTCCCTCTTTAAAATACACAAAAATGTGGATGAAAATAAAATTAAATTAAACAGGATGTTTATTATTTATTTCACAAATGATATTTTAGAATGTTAACTGCACTCTAACAAAGTTTAGAGTATTTTAAATTACGTAATTATTCTAGTAATTTTTTTTATAATAAAATATATAATCATGAAGTGAGAATAACTTTTTATATAAAATTTAGAGTAAGTATACGGAGTATTATATATACTCCCTCCGTTCCAAAAACAACTTCACAGGTTGACATTCAGACAGATTAAGAAAATAAATTTGACTTTATTATAGAGTGCACTGTTTTGCACTGTTTAAACACTGTTTTGATGTAGATAATTTGTCAAATAAGGAAAGTATTGAAGTGTGAAGTTAATTTTGGAACATCCATTTAAAGAAAGTAGAAAATTGTTTTTGAAAAGGAGGGAGTATAAATTTTAGGGTACTTGTCTCACACACTCATACATTATTAAAGTTTGAGATATTTAAATCATTTTCTTCATAATAATAATAGCCCTAATAAGAAGTTGAAAAAAGATAGGGGTACACACTTTTTGTACACAAAAAGTGTACACTTGTCTGTCCCCCACAGACAAGTTGTCTGTCGCGAGATGAGTTGTCTGTTCCACAGACAACTCATCTCGCGACAGACAACTTGTCTGTGGGGGACAGACAAGTGTACACTTTTTGTGTACAAAAAGTGTGTACCCCTAGCTCCACTCTAAGAAGTTAAGCACACACAAAGGCTGTGACAAAAACCTAGACCTAGAGGAGCTGAGGTCTTCAGTAGCTGGCTCGTATTCTTCACCATTTCTTCGTTTTTAATCTACTGGTAATCATATCTTTACTCGTGCACAGTAGCCTGTCACTTCTCTCTCACTATCACTCACGGTCAGTCGGTCACTTTCTCAAATTTCTCTAACTTCAAATTTATTTTACTAAAAGGATTATTATACTTCTCCGTATGCATTTTTATATGCACCAAATTATCAAAGCGGTTGTCTGTATATAAACCCTAATCATGAGTTTTTCCCTCAGCTCGTTCGTTTTTCTGGGTTGGTGGTTATTGCTGGACGAGACACCCTACCTGATGTTGCGGCTTTCCGAAGATTCATAGAAACAGCTAAGGGATCGCACTACAATAGCGTCTAGCTACTCGTAGGGGAGTAACGTGTTCAGAAAGATTGGTTCTACTCTCTTCGGATTTTTGATCTGCATCTTTCTCAGGTCTTCAGATCTTTGCTTTCCCTTCTGCACATTTTGCTCTAAGTCGTCATTTTTGTTGGTTATAGCTGTCAGTATTTGGGGAGAGTCGTGATTTGCTTCTCTGGGTTCAGTCTGGATATAATGTGCATTAATTAGCATCGGCTGGTAATTAAATAAATGGACTTTTCCACTTTCCATGTATGGAAAATTGCACCATGGGCTTTTTTCAGAGGAGTGGGGGTGTGGCTGTTTTTAGTTTAGTTTAGTTTTGGCTCTCCTTGAGCCTCCTTGAGCCTATTCCAAAAAATCCACCGTGCTGCTGATTATTTGGCTCTCCTTGAGCCTGCCAATTTAAATTCACCCTAGCTTCATTTGGGCATTAAACAAACCCCCAGATTCAATGCATAGTTTTTACTGGACTGTTTGCTCCAGATCTTAGGGAGAAGATCCAGTAATTCTTTCTTATTACTGGTTTTTATGTGATGAAAATTTTGGTGTCTTTTTGAATGCCTTCTTTTATAATTGAATAATTGGGAATGTAAACCTCTATAGTTATGCATCTCGTTGGCATTCACCTAGAGATCGGAGAACTTTATGAACCTTTTATTATAACCTTTTTAATCTTATTTTATTTTCCCCGTTTTACTTTAATCGGCTTCGTTATCCATTCTTTTTCAATTTTCACATAAGGGTCAGTTTTGAACTCAATATGGCTTGTAGAGTTCGTTTCCTGCCATGATATTATTTGAATATATCTATACAAACAATGTAAATGATTATATGGTTCGATACCGGACAAAGATTGTTTGTGTTTATTCGCTTTTCTTTTTATACTGTGCACATTCTCCGGGCTTACTTTTGTGGAAGTGTATTTTTCTTTGTTTCATCTTTCCGCAAATCCGGTAGCCAGCTCACTTGCCTCGTAATGCTTGCCTTACCAATTTAAAGTTTATTGTCGTTTTCTGTTCACACATTATGATTCACCACAAAAAATGTTACTCAAATTGAATTGTTATTTCCCTTTTATAATAATGAGGTTATGATATCATGCTATATATAATACTCGTGCACATACAAAAGGTATAGACTTCTCACATTGTAAGTAAGTGAATTCACTTTGATCTATGTGCATTCATGAATGGACCTTTATTGACGTGCGTTATTTTCCAGATATTTTTATGGTCCTTTTATCTTCTGTCACGTAGTTTACACGTTATAGTAATATACTCCCTCCGTCCATTTTATTTTTGTCATCTTTCCTTTTTTGGTTATGCCTAAAAATTTGACACTTTCCTTTTTAATTCAATTAATTTGAGGTTTCAATCATATCTTTCTCCTCTGCACAAACTCAACCATACAATTTTTACTTTATTATTCCACATGCCGGTCAAAATGGACAAAGTTATTAGGGAGTCAGGGACAGAGAGAGTAGTATTTAAGTCCTTCACGGAATGTGCATATTTTAATAATAAGATGGCTTCTTAGATATTTTTTTGCATATACCTGTGGCAGGGCGCTGATTCACAAGGCAGCGTGATGGGTTCTAGATTTCCATCTCATCAGCTCAGCAATGGTCTCTATGTGTCAGGCCGGCCAGAGCAGCCAAAAGAAAGAACTCCAACAATGAGTTCAGTGGCTATGCCATATACTGGTGGTGACATAAAGAGGTCTGGAGAACTCGGCAAAATGTTTGACATTCCTGTTGATGGGTCTAAGTCGAGAAAATCTGGGTCTATATCTAATGCACCTTCAAGAACTCATTCGGGGCCCATCAATCCTAATGCTGCTGCCAGGGCCGGTTACTCTTCCGGTCCTTTTTCATCCACAATGGTGACCGGATCAACTTCAATGAAGAAATCCAATTCAGGGCCTCTTAATAAGCATGGCGAGCCTATGAAAAAGGTATCAGGGCCTCTATCTGGTGGAGGAGCAACGGGGCGTCAAAATTCAGGACCTCAACCACCGGTTCTTCCAGCAACCGGTTTGATTACATCTGGACCCATCTCCTCTGGCCCACTAAATTCTTCAGGTGCACCAAGAAAGGTCTCTGGCCCATTGGACTCGATGGGCTCTATGAAAATGCACGTTCCCTCTATCGTCAACAACCAAGCTGTGACAACTCTCACTCAACATGATGAGTTCTCCTTCAGAAGGAACTTTCCAAAACCAATACTGTGGGCCATGGTTTTGCTATTTCTCATGGGATTTATCGCCGGAGGTTTTATTCTTGGAGCTGTGCAGAACCCTATACTTCTAATTGTGGTTATTGTTCTGTTTGCTATTGTTGCGACTCTATTCATATGGAATTCCTTGTGGGGGAAAAGAGCTATCATTGGTTTCATTGCTGAGTATCCAGATGCTGAGTTAAGAACTGCAAAAAATGGGCAGTATGTCAAGGTTTCTGGGGTAAGTACTTTTATCTTGTAATTTTGAGAATTTAATTTTGGAGTGGCGCTGTTCAATTTTCTCCACTCAAGAAATCCATTTTATGTTTCCTTTCCTTATTTGTAATGTGGCTTTACGTAGTTAAGCACAACTAGAAATGTGACACTATGTTAGATCTATCCCATGCGTAAGTGGAAATTTGGTGAGCCGATAGAGAAACAAATAACACAAACAAAGAATATATTTTCTGTCTGCTGCCTTAGGATCACTTTAAAAGTGAAGGATTTTGAAGGACTTTGTCTATAACTCTATATCATAATATAGACTTGTGGTTTTATAAAAATTGAATGGTTAACATGAAATGCGATCATATAACATTTCAATCACCTTGTTTGTTTTTCGATATATTTTGTTTATCAACATATAGACTAAGCCTTCCAAAACCTTTAAGAGTACAAAAGTGTGATGTGACTCAATCTTGTTACCTTTTCTTTCCATCCACTAAAATACTGTCCAGCTGACATTTCCTTAGACCACAAACTATAGAGAAAAGGGTCAAATAAGGCCTTCTACTATTATGAAATAGTCACATAAGGTCATGTACTCAATAAAGTGTCATATAAGTACATCTACTTGTAAAAAGCATTCAAATGGGTCCTAATGACCTATTTAACACCTCTTAATCCCGGTTTTAGCGTACTTCTGACCATCTTTTTAGAATAGATTATACGGCATACGTCGAATATTTAACTAAGATTGGTTGAAATACAAGTCAAAAAAATCGACATGTAAGCTAAAACCGGGATTAGGAGGTTGTAAATAGATCGTTAGGACTCATTTGATTGTTTTTTACAAGTAGAGGTACTTATATGACACTTTATTGAGTACATGGCCTCATGTGACTATTTCATAATAGTAGAAGGCCTTATTTGACCCTTTTCTCCAAACTATATCATTCAACCCTCATCTTTAGATGTTATTCTATATACTAAAGTTTATATTTGAAATTAGACGCAATCACGCGATTATAGAAAATAAGAGTAAAAAACGGAATGTGATGGAATTTTTTTTTTTATTTTGCCCCATACTGTCTAGCTTCAAAGTTCTAATCACCCCTTTACTACTGACTTTTGGATTCTTATTTTCTCTCAAATATTTCCTTCTTTAGGAAGGAGAGCCTTGGTGCACCGGTTAAGGTGTCTCTGTGTGACCGAGAGGTCATGGGTTCAAGTCTTGAGAGCAGCCTCTTGTCAACATTTGACAGGGGAAGGCTTGGTCCTTCTACACCCTTGTGGTGGGACCCTTCCCTGGACCCTCGCCTTGCAGGGATGCCTTCGTGCACCGGGCTGCCCTTATTTCCTTCTTTTAACCAATGCAGTGGTAAAGCTGTTTCCGTGTGACCTCAAGGTTACGGTAACAAGTCAAACAGCTTCTTATTTTTAAATAATACAAATATAATGTAACACTACATAGATCTGATCTGGCCTTCATGGACCCTCTCTGAAACAGATCATCTACACACCGTAGCTCTTCCATGGGGTTTCCTTTTTAAAATGAATGTTTCACGCCCTTTTGCTCTGAGGTTATTTGAAGTCTCTTTTTTAATAATAAATTCATGTGTTAACTGTATATTGAATGGGTTATGTAAGCATATTTTGGACTTGGTTATATACTCATATGTTGATTTTATCATTTTAATATTCACGATGTGTACTTTTCCAGTTGGTTGTTTAACGTTTCCTTGCATAATAATGTTCATTCTAATGTTATGCATCCTCATATATTTAAAGGTGGTGACTTGCGGAAATGTACCTCTGGAGTCATCTTTCCAGAAGGTTCCTAGGTGTGTGTATACATCGACAAGTTTATATGAGTATCGAGGATGGGATTCGAAAGCTGCAAACCCTACACATCGTCGATTCACTTGGGGGGTTAGATCATCTGAAGTGAGTTGCTATGTAGCTCTCTATTTAGCTAACTGTTAGGGGTTTAAACTGTGAAACAACTTCAAGTGCTCTTTGATTTTTGAACTAATATGTTTGCAATTATTGATTTGCAGAAGCATGTAGTTGATTTCTACATATCTGATTTTCAGTCTGGATTGAGGGCGCTTGTTAAGACAGGCTATGGGGCAAAAACCACTGCGTATGTGGAGGAGTCCGTGGTGGTTGATATCAATCCTTTGAACAAGGAGTCATCTCCGGAATTCATCAGGTGGTTGGGGGAGAGGAATCTTTCAAGTGATGATCGTGTAATGCGATTGAAGGAAGGGTATACCTTTTCTTCTCTATTTGTGCTGTTTGTGCCCTTGTTATTGTTTTCCTTGGTTTTTATTGCTTGCTCTTGAAGTTCATAAGAGAACTATATAATGTACTCCCCAAGTCCCATATAATAATGGGGGAATTGCAGTTTACACCCTATATTTGAAATCATCAATATTTGGACTCCAAAGTTAGAAATAATCTGTTAAAAGCGGGACACAAACTCCAATGTGGAAGAAAATATAGGGATGTAAACTGCAATTCTAGTGGTGCAAATATTAATGATTTTAAAAATGGGGTACAAACTCAAATGGGAGGAAAAAGTGGGGGTGCAAACTCCAATTCATCCAAAAATATTCACCTTTTAGATAAAGTGAGCACGTGTTAAGGAACCTTACAAAATGACTGTTCTACCCTTAATTAATTTTGAGATTGAATGTATTTTATTTCTTTTCAAGGTACACTAGTATTTAATTTAGGCCCCCCTTTACAAAATAATTTATTCTCTGGAAAAGTGCACACATATTTAAGGAACCTTACATAATGACATTTCTACCTTTGGTTACATTTAACATTAAATTTATTTTATTTCTTCCTATGGTACAAAAGCATTTAATGCAGGAGCTTTTATGTGACCATTCTACCCTTGCTTATTTTTACATTAAATGTTTTTTTGTTTCTTCTCAATTTACAAACGTATGTAGTTAACTCAATTACTCTCTACGTTCTAGAAAAAGTGTACACATGTTGCAGAACCTTACATATTGATATTTCTACCTTTATTTAATGTTAACATTGAATCTATACTATTTCTTTTCGTAGTACAAAAGCATTTAATGTGGGGAGAGTTGATATGGGCCTATTTTTGTATGATCTAAAAACTATGCATTAGATTCCTAATTTTTGTTTCTTACTAAAACAAATGACTATAGTGTGTTGGGGATTTAACGAATATATTATTTGAAATTGTTTCGGCAGATATATCAAAGAAGGAAGCACGGTGAGTGTAATGGGAGTGGTGCAAAGGAACGAGAATGTGCTTATGATTGTCCCGCCTCCTGAACCATTCACAACCGGATGCCGGTGGATGAAATGCATTTTCCCGGCTAGCCTTGAGGGTATTGTCTTGAGACATGAAGATGCATCAAGAACCGATGTGATACCTGTGTGACAGCCACCTGCGTTTGTGCTTCTTTAATATGTAGTATTATTTCTTTAGGGGGGGTTCATATGGTACTGCTAAAAGATAGAGTTCTGTGGGTTGCAGACATCCAGTATAGATGGTGGTAGTGGCGATACAAGTGATTCGTGAATGATCAGCCGTGTTTGATATATATATATATATATATATATATCATCTATATATATAGTTGATTTCTAATTTTCTGTATAGTTGGTAGATTTCCCCCCTTTCAAGGATATCTTGCGATGGGGGAGTATGATTGAGTGATTTGGGAATGCAAATGTTTTCCTTGTTTTGAGAACAGTCAGTTATGCTGGAATCAAAACCATTGTGTTGGTTGATTCTTTGTATCATATATGAGAAAATGTTTGATATTTATTTAGTGCTAATTGTTTGGGGTTAAGGCTGCCATGTATTAGTCTTGTGTTAATTTTGGCGGGATTATTTAATTTAAATGTGAATGATGGTTTACGACTTGCTTTTGCTTTAATCTAGTCCTGGACTCGGGCCGGTTCGGGCCCGGTTCGGGCCTGGGCCCGGCCGGGCCTCGGGCCAGGAAAGGGAGGCCCGAGCCCGAACCGCCGGTGGCCGGTTCCGGTCCCGGTTCCGGGCCAAACCGGGCCGGGCCGGGCCGAACCGGCCCAATAATTTTTTTTTTTTTTTGTTCTTCTATTTAATCCCCTACCCCTCCCCCTCAACCCCAAACCATCTCAAATGGCCCAAAATACCTAATCCAACCTAAAACTTAAAAAAATTTCAAAAAAAAAAAAAAAAATTAAAATCCGGCCCGGACCGGGCCCGAACCGGCCGGGCCGGTTCACAAAAACCTGGGCCCGGGCCCGAACCGCCCAGCAGCCGGGCCGGGCCGAACCGAACCGAGGGACCCACCGGGCCCCGGGCCGGGCCGGGCCAAATAGTAACCGGGCCGGGCCGGTTCCGGGCCGGGCCGCCCGGCCCGAGTCCAGGACTACTTTAATCTTACCATGGGGAAAAAGTAATTTTTTGGGAATTAATAAAAGGTACTCCGTACATGGCCTTCTATAAGCTTGATTGTTGTCTGACGCTACATTTGTCAAGGCAGTCAAGTCAAAAAAGCTAATAAAGCAGTGGTTGAAGACTTGAAGAGTTGAAGATTATTAAATTCTAGGGAAAAATAAATAAAATACCCCAAACTTTGAAGGGGTGTAACATAAACATCCCAAACTTTCATATGTATTTAAAATACCAGAAACTTTATATAAAAAGTTATTTTAGCACTATGATCATGTATTATTTATTTCAAAATTGTAAATTTGTGATGTTAATTGCATAATTTAAAATAGCAAATTGAAAAGGTTTCAATTATATAGAGTGTGAGTGATACTATTTCTTTTACAATTAAAGTTAAGAATGTTAATTATTGTATCTACATGAATGTTAAAATATTTTAAATTGTGAAATCAACACAAAAATGAACATTTTTTAAAGAAATAATACATGACCATGGTGCTAAAATAACTTTTTATATACAGTTTGGGGTATTTAAACTACATATGCAAGTTCAGGGTGCTTACCTCACACCCGTTCAAAGTTTGGGGTATTTTATTTATTTTTCCCTTAAACTCTATGGCCTATATTTTTGACTTCTTATAATAATACGGAGAAAAAGGGCAAATAAGCCTATGTACTAATAAAAAAAGATCAAATAAATCTTTATATATAAAGTTTTATCCGGCCGTCATCATTTGGAGCGGTTCCCGATGGAATTTTTTGATGAATTTTTTTGAGCATTTTATTCATTAAGTCTAGTTTATTCATACCAAATTTCAGCTAAAACTTCAATCAGGACGACATTCAAATGAATTCTTGAAGATAATTGCGCAGTTAAAAACGCAGTTATCTTCAAGAATTCATTTGAATGTCTTCTCGATTGAATTGTTATATGAAATTTGGTATGAGTAAATTAGACTTAATGAATAAGATATTTAAAAAAAATCATCAAAATATTCCACCGGGAATTCCCCCAAATGGCAACGACCGGACATAACCTCCTATATAAGGACTTATTTGACCTTTTTTTGGTTAGTACGTGGGCCTATTTGCCCCTTTTCCCTAATAATACGTGATAATTAGGAAAAATGGGCAAAAACAATATAACTATTAGTGATCTGCTTGAAATAATTCAAAGTATCAATTATCTTAAAATATTCTAAACTGTTGAATAAATTTCTCAAAATGCTTCACTGACTCGTAAATATTACAAGTCATTTACGGGTTATTATAAGTCATTGGAGTATTTTGAGATTATTTTTCAATAGTTGGTATTATTTTGAATAAATTAAATGTTAGATTATTTCAAGCATATCACTAATAATTGTTATCCATTTTTCCTAGTAATTATTACTATGTATACATTTGGGCATTTAGAGAATTAACCACTTAGAAAATATTATTTGGTGAGTGTTAGTGTATTACTATATCCCATATTCTCATTAAAAAGTGGGTGCCATATTAATGATCTATTTTATCATTTTATTATTAATTTATATATAGACTACCATGTTGCAATATTTTAATTGATCTATGTATATAAGGTGTATTATTTTTTAGATATTCATCTTTTCTTTTTGGATATCCAATATTTTAAATAGAAATCAACCCTTTTAAACATTTGAACTGGGACGGATTCTATGTTTTATGAACAATTAGTGAAACTGGATTGATTAAAAAAAAGGTGATCTAATCATCAAAGCTAGTTGCTAAGAAGAAAAATCAAAATAGGTCAAAAAATGAGAAACCCAATAAGTCTTGAGCAAAGACTAGAAAAATCTAGTGCAAAAGTTCATTTTTGAATATTTTTTTATATTAAATTTCTTTGATGTAATGAAATAGTAATCTTGACTTCATCAAAACGGAATAAGATATGTGATATATAACAGATTTGTATATGATAAACACTCATGTTGGCAATTACTAAGCTAAGAGCCCGTTTGGTAACTCTAAAATTGGCTGTATTGGCTAATTCTGCTGAAATTTATGAAGTTCTGGCTGAACTGGCTGATTCTGCTGATTCATGAAAAAATTATATTTAAAATATTTGTTATTAATAAATAAAATAAAAAATTATATGAAAAAATAGCTAAAATGATCCTCTACGGTAACTTCAGCCAATACAGCCAGAAAAGTAACTCCAACCTTACTTTCTCTGCTTATTACACAATTCAGCGCGCAAAATCAAAAGTTACGTGTTTGGTGAAAAGCTGGCTGATAAGCCTCATAAGCCGAAAAAAGGGGTCACCAAACGGGCTCTAAAGCGTACAGGCTAAATATCAAGATATATAGACAAATATGTAAACATTGAGTTACACTTTCTATTGGGATGATCTTTTTGTGAGGAATTAGGGCTTCGACGAATACACGCACACACACGATTGTAAGATGCGACAATTAAAAAGAACGCAAGAATTAAAAGTGGTTCACCGGTCAAACTAACCGGCTAGTTCACTGTGCGAACTAGAGAGGTTTTATTACTGAGAAAATGCTATTACACTTTCTGGTGATATCTACTTAGGGTTCACTAATGATCTATTTATAGAAATAGGAAGAGAATTCTAGAGAATAGGCTTTCTTTGGCCCCAAGCAACCTTGCTTCGGCCCCAAGCAATTCTAGTTTCGGCCCCAAGTAACCTAGCTCCTGCCTCAAGTAACCTACCTTTGGTCCCAAGCAACTGAACTATCTTCCCTTTACCATTTGAGTGGATCAGATCTCCACCACCTAACAATCTCCCACTTGGAGGCTGATCAACTCTCTGACTAGCTGCCATCCAAGACTCGATCTCTGTGAAAAAAACCTTGTCACTCTCTGCAATCTCTCTCTCTTCATCTCTAGTTCGCGTCTTCTCTTCAATCAACTAGAAGGCCGGTTGAAGCCAAAGCTTCAACTTCTTTGTCATCTGAACTCCACTACTTCGTGAAGCCTCACCAGAGCTCCCACTGGAAATGGAGTCTTCAACCAAGTTCTCAGAGCTTTCTAAACTCCTACTAGTCCCTGATTTCTTTCTACACCTTGACCTGGCTTTTCTGCTCCCACTACAGCCTGATATCTCAACTGATTTCGTGCTGGAACCTCAACTCTCTTTTCTCCTTCTACAACCTGAAATCTCAATCGATTTCGTGCCTTCCTTCATCTTTGTGTTCACCCACTGCCGGATCAAGAAAACCTTGTTTGATGCTGAGGATTTCTGGTACATGTTAGATAGTGCCTTGATTAGCCCGTGCGTTGTCTTCTCATTGACGATGTTGCAGGCTACGTTCTTTGCGAGTGACAATCTGACCACACCAAGTGCCTGCCGATCTAACGGTTTCCACTCATCATCTGTCATCTTTTCAGGTTTACTTTCTTCCGAAGCTTCATGTAACTTTCTCTGGTAGAGATAATCTTCAATTTGCATCTTCCAAACCCCAAAATCATGACCGTTGAATCTGTCAATCTTGATCTTCCTATCCTCCGCCATAGCCCTGCTTTGTAGAGATAATCTTCAATCTACACAGCTTTCTGAAGTTCTGAATCTGCCAACTGTGGCTCTGATACCAGTTTTTAGGAATTAGGGCTTCGATGAATACACGCACACACATGATTGTAAGATGCGAGAACTAAAAAGAACACAAGAATTTAAAGTGGTTCACCGGTCACACTAACCGGCTAGTCCACTATGCGAACTAGAAAGATTTTATTACTGAGAAAATGCTATTACACTTTCTGGTGATATCTACTTAGGGTTCAGTAACGATCTATTTATAGAGATAGGAAGAGAATTCTAGAGAATGAGCTTCCTTTGGCCCCAAGCAACCTTGCTTCGACCCCAAGTAACCTAGCTTCGGCCTCAAGTAACCTACCCTTGTCCCCAAACAACTGGACTATCTTCCCTTAACCATTTGAGTGGAATGTGGATCATATCTCCACTACCTAACATTTTTAAGATGAAACTCCAAGTCTTAATATGATAACAAAATTAAATAATTAGTTCATCAAACATGATAAGTCTCAATAATGAACTAACAGACTTTCAGATGGGGCATGCTCTAATAAGTCACCATCATATATGTAGGAGCATGTTAAGCTAGGGGTAGACATCTTGGTTTAGTGGCTGAACCGAACTGGATTAAACCGAATGAAAATGAATCAAAAATGTATGCAATTGAGTTTGAGTTTGATAATGTTCTTCCAAATCGTTTTAAAACAAAAAAAATGGAAGAAAAACTAAATAACATTGATTCCACTTTTAAAAATCAATAAATCCTTACCAATTCTTTTTTAAAAACATCAATTAAAACAAATCACGCCGAACTAGGGGTGGAAACAGGCCAGGCCAGGCTTTCGCCTAAACAGGCCCGGCCTGTTTTAGAATATATAGGCCTGAGCCTGGTCTGTTACCTGTTAAAGGCCCGTTTTTTCGGCCTGGGCCTGACCTGTTTAAAAGCCTGGCCTGGCCTGA